AAATATTTTATTTCTGCACTTTGATGAAAAAACATGAGTGGTTTTATATTCCTGAATTGAAACATTTCATTTCAATGAGTTGAAACAAAACAAAATGTTTTGGGTTGACATCAGTCTGTCTCATCTTTCTAAAGCAAGACTCTCTGATCAAGCTCTTTCCCATCATCCAGCACTACTGCAGTAGGTAAGAAGGGAAACTGCAACACACCCTTGGTTAGATAATATAGAGGTGGGTATGGCTGAAAAAAATAATCCGGATGCAATATTACCTGTCCCCAAAATACCATCTGCAGTTCAGGCAGATGGCTCAAACTTAATATTAAGTAACACACAGCAATCCAGGTCAACAAACTGGTTTGAAATGGATCAAACTGACTAAAAGCAAAATATTTCAGTTTTACCTTCCTGATGAGTCCTTGTATCTCAACTTCACAGAAACTTTGCATAGAAGTCACTTCAACACCAAGTATTTTTTAACATAATATAATTAGCAACTGTGGAAATAGATCAGTCATCATGACTTGCTGCATGGGAAGATCAGAATACTGATTCATACATACTTCATATATATTGAATTACTTCAGGAACCCAGTACTTTTGCATCTTCTTCATACCATGACAGTTCAAAAGGAAATGTTTGCTCTCCAATGGTTTGCACATGATGGGAGGTGATGCTAATCATGAGAACAACCAGAAAATTCTTTTGAGCCAATTAGATGGTACCAGTCACAATGCCATTAGTCATCCATTCCTCAATCTGAGGAGAAGGAACCAAAATTATCGTTCATCTGCTCCTGAAGCTGCAAAGACACAAGGGAAGTATACTATTTCCTATGGTTATTACAATCATCATCACACAAAGTGACACAAGCTGCTATTTTCTGCTCCTATTCTAGAGGAATGGTGGTTACTCTCTGTCAAAAGAGAGACTTTGACCTCATTTAACTGTTTCATTTTTCATTCTCTTCCTGTCCTTGCCTGATCAACACGTGACCACGAAAGGAAATGGAACCGGAAAATGCCACACAGTAAGAATATATACAGCCTGATGCCATTAGCCTCTGCAGCTTGTAAGGTGACCATGATGTGAGTGCTGGTTCGCAATGACAGTGACAGAGGAGAGAGAAGGGATAATCAGTGGGTGGAAAAGTGCCCACACAAGGAAAATCTCCAAAAAAAGTTGATAGTGAAGCATCAGGAGAGGTTAACTGCAGAGGGTTCAAAGTGGAGGACTTTAAGAACAGAGCCAGGAATAATACTGGGACAGAGAGACAGACTGCCCTGGAGTAGCTGATGTAACAAATCACACACAAAGTCTTCACACTGTCAAAGTCTTCACACTGCTGAGATCAATGAGATACATATCGCTTATCTCAGTAAAGTGAGAGGCAGGGGAAGTCCAGGAGGAATGGATAGGCAGGAGAAGCTGACCAGAACCTATGTCTCTACAGCAGGATGGTTTGGGCATTTCAGAGATGCTGGTGTAGCAATCTAGCTTGCTTCCACTCACAGCCACAAGACCAGACTACCCAGCATGCCTGGTGAGCACAAAGACCTTTGTATATCATGTTGACCCAAAATGAGAGGTACCCTTGGAACACTCAACACTACATACGTCTCCAAGGCACAGGCTGGCCACCTCTTTAATTCCGTCCAACCCTTTCCAGCTGTCACTGGAAGACACGTGGTGAAAAAGAGGACGAAAAATCAGAAACATCAACCCTTCTGAAAGAGGTGTAAACAGAACAAGTTAATGGTGAAGTAATATTCTAGAGAAGCCAAGGAAATATCTGTGGCTTGAGAAGCTCAGACACCTCCAACATATTTTGGGAAACTCTGCCAAGCTTTTCATGGCAATTGCTCCTCTAGGGTGACATTTTGGTTCACTGCCCAATTGAAGTACGTTATGGAGTAGATCCTCAGCTAGCATAAACAGTGCTGCTACTTTCTAGAAGCATAGTCATTTTGAGCAGGAGACAATTACATTCCAGATCTCAGAGTGGCAGGGAGGTTCTCTCAGGGGAACCACATCTGAGATTCGCAGTGAAGGGCAATGTTATCCACAGCACAAACTCCAGTTCAACAAACAAATTTGAAAATGACTATAAGAAGAAGTCATGCTAACAGATGGTACCAAATCCAAGTGGCAGAGATCACAACTACTTACATTTTGCATTTTGTCTTTTTTTTTGTGTGTGTATGCTTCAGCCAGAAAGAAACAGATTATGATTCAAGATGTTAAGCTAATTAAACTATAATATACTAAAAGAAGATCTGGCTGTGTTGATAAATCTGGAGTGTGGTACAGCAGGGTTCTCCTCTGTAAACATGGAGACACCTCCCCAGGATTTCTCATAATTATAAAATTATTCAAATTATCTCCAGAAGTAATCTTAGATTTGAATGCCAGCACTAGAACTAAAACATGCCTGAGATAGACAAATGAGATACTCTAAACCAATATTTATATATGTATAAAAAGATGGAGAGGGACAACTGGAATAGTCGTATACTGCAGTTGTTGCTAGACTTTACCTTTCTACAGACAGCGGTACTGAATCCAGTTTCATTCTCTTCAAAAGATGGTATCTAAAACTTCCTGATTTGTCTTTCACACTGCACTAGAAATAACTTGACCACAGTGGAATAAAACTCACAGCAGCCTTCTTCTTCCCAGAGAAAGAGAGATCTTCCGTAAACTGTAAAGATACATTTTTAACTATGTTCCAGTGCTGATTTATAACAAATGTCTGTTTGCACCATGCTAGCAACATAAAAGGTCTCTAACCCTGAGGTGGCCCCTGCTTTGCCTGATATAATAAAGCAACACTGATCTAAGAAGTGCTGATGTGTTCCACAGGAAGGGGAACAAACTTTCAGTGCAGAGCATCTTCACACCAGTACACTTTTATCTTCCCAATAGAAGAAGCCCTTCAGTAAAGAAAACTCCAGCCACCAACTGACCTAGATACACTGCTGGCATGAGAAAACCAGGAGTGAGGTTTCTGATAGTCTGAACTCAGCCCACCTTTCACTAGACTAGATATTTCCACCATAGCTGTCTATGTACAACCTTCCAGAAGCTAAAGCTGCCTTCACAAAGTCAGCAAAACAGAACCTCTGCCTACATCTCGTCATGCAAGAGATGCTCACTGAAGATGTGGCAAAGAGAAGCTTTGGGCATATACAGTATGCTCAAGCATCTGCAGCACATTGATCCGTCTGTGGGCAACACCTGCCTTTGCTGACATGCAGCACTCCAGGCTCTTTTTATGCTAATTTGCATCTAAATACTGCTAATTGGAAATTAAACTCACACTTCCCTGTCTCTGAGCAAGAAAAGCATGCCTCTTTGCCCTAAAGTTAATGCCTAGTCTACACTAATCGTCCCAGCTCTCCCCATCACCATCAGAGACAGACAGTACTGCTAGATGATTCAGTCTTATGTACCTGATGAATCACTCTCTCTGCCTTCAGTGATGAGGGAGAAACAGAGCACCCATACACTTTCCTTAGACTAGATACCTAGCCTTCAGTCTACTCAAGTAGGAGATTCCTACCTGTATGGTCTTTTCTTTTGACTGTGTCCAATGGACAAGACAAATGAAAAAGGAACTCAAACTGTGGCTTCTTAACACAATAACCATATAAAACTATCATGAAAGCAGTACTCAAAACCCACTAATATTAATGATAATAACATAAAAAGTAACTTCTGTAGAAGTCAACTACTGATGCACATGAAACTCAAGTGTGCCACAACCTATCTGTGTGGAGATGTGTATCACTCATCAGTATGAAGGCCACTGCCTGGTCATATGCTGTGCATGTTTTCAGACAAAGAAAAGAAGCCATTGGCCCAAGGGTTTGGAAGAGAGATTCCTTCTGCATGATTTTGGTATTGTGTGTGAAACTTTGCGTTGAGACTAACACAAAAACCTGCAACCCTGCCCTTTTAACATAGCTTTGACTTATTTACTCAGCTTGGATTGTGCAGAACTTTTTACCCTCTGGGAGAATCTACTTGGGCCGAAGCTGCATAGCTGGGGAAGTTGCAGGGAAAAACAAGGCTCCGTCAATGTGAAAGCAGCTAGACTCTCCTGCTGGTTTCAAAACTCTTGCACGGGCACACTCGTGCAGGGCAGTATTGTCAGGAAGCAGACATGACCCAAAGGATCCACAACATTGTACAGAGGTACAAGATTTGCAAGCACGAGTGACCTTGAAGCAGCTGCCCATTTTGCAGGGGGGTTTCTGCCATGCCCATGTAGGAGGGCAGTTTGAGCCCCAGTGAAATACGCCCAAGGACAGGATCTGAACACCCAGCTGTCTGATGTGACATGGCCCTTTATCTCCTGCAGGGGAATGAGATTTTGTGCATTTTCATTCCAGACACATAAAGCAGGTAGCTAGATGAAATATGGCACAGTCAGGCTCTTTTCAGGCTTCTTACAGGTGTGAAGACTGCCAGAGACATACATCATTCTTCATTTAACACTTCACTGATCATTGACTTGTGGATTGTTCGCCCTCTGAAAAATACTAACTGTTCTTCTTAAATGGGAATTTTGACCACAATAATGGAGATGCCTTTAAACATAGATTTGGCATAGAGACTGCAATGGCAGTGAGATTCCGATCTGGCTGGGCTTGTACCTACCCGGTGGCTGAGGCAGAACAGCAAATGCCTATGTCAGATACAGCTGGAAAGAAAAAGATTTAGTGGGAGGTGTCCCTGCCCATGGCAGGGGGGTTGGAACTAGATGATCTTAAGGTCCTTTCCAACCCTAACTATTCTATGGTTCTGTGATGATTCTATTTGAGTAAGCAGATAGAGTCAGGCAGCCAGGCACTGAATGCTCCACTCAGGCTCCCCAGGCTTAGGAGAGCATCCCTCATCAACCAGCTTTTAAAAGATCAGTCACATTCAAGCATATGTCACCAACTGAAGTATGCTTATTATGCAAATATGAAGGGAACACTTGGAGAACAATACTTACAGCAGTGTGTCCTGTACAACTCCTTATAGGATCCTGTTTCCACAGCTTATAAATTAGCCATGCTGTCTAGACCAAGTTCTGTATGTGCTGCAGATAGATGCACCACAAACCAAGAGAAGCAGGAGGACACTGTCTCTTCCCTGCAAGTATTTCGTAACTAATAAAAATCAGTGTGTGAAAGATGGAATAATATTATCAAGTGTACATGATATTCGTGACTCACACCTAGCACAAATGTGTGCAAACACATAAGCTAAACTTTGTTTTCACTTGGTCTACATTTGACCTTGCAAAGTCCATTCAAATAATAGAACAGCTACAAAATGACAATTCAAATAATATTTTTCAATTGATAATATGCTCCCACACTTAAATTAACCAAACTTCTAACTACCCTTTAATTTTTTATTCTGGTATAATACGAGAATGGTAGGGAAAAGAAAATATTATATTTGGTATAAACATGTATTTTAACAATTGACAGCACATGTCAAAGTCAACAAAGCACAAAGTTCAGGCAATGCAATGTAATGCATGTTTTCATTCCATGTTATTGGTTTCTTAATTTAGCAAACAGGGGATTTTTGTCTGCATTTAAAGAGGAAGTCAGCAAATCAATACTAAATTTTCTGTAGAAGGGAGAAGCATAAAGTTACTCAAGTTACCACAGAAGAAAATTTAAGCAAACTGGTGCCACAAATCAAGGAATTAAGCAGAAAGAAGAACTAAATCTCTTAAAAAAAATATTGATTTATGATACTATGTCAAGTTTGGGGCCTAAGTATTTGTTATCCTGCAGTTGCTATTCCTTCAACACTTACATTAATTTTATTCATGTCTTTCTAATAAAGGGCAACTCAGCTAAGTCCAAGTAGCAAACAGTAAGACAATAAATACTTTGTTGCATTTGCCTCTCTCCTGAGCAGCAGAGAGCACATTTTATGTCAAATTATTCCATGCACAGAGAACGCTGCTATACTGGATACATACTAATTCACCATGGATTACAGGATTCGACTCGTGTATACCCTGGAGCATTCCAATAAATTTAAATCAAACTGACATCAAGTAGACAGGGGCAGTGTTCTTAGTTCTGACCTAAAGTACAGCAAGAAACATATTGTTCTATGTATTTGCCTTATTACTGCTTTCTTCCTGTCAATAAGCAAGTTTTCCTAAATACCAGAAGCATACAGAGAACTCTGAAGCTTTAAATCCTTAATCCTTATGCTCTTTTAGCTGGACATCAGCAATGACCATTTCTTCAATAGTGCATATGAAAAGGCTTGGTGTTTTCATTGCAGGACCTTAATCTGATAAGGAGTCAGGACTGAATCCAAATCTCAGCAAAAAGAAAGAAGAAATAATACATCTTCCTCTTTTTTTTTTTTCCTCCTTCCTCTGCACAGAACAACGCAGAACGTTACCAAACTGGCATCTAGTTTAAGTTCAGCTCACAGAAATAATTCTTGAAAGCCCATTGGTGGAGACTCTGTTTCCTTCTCCTTTCAGGTTGAAAAGGAAACTTTTTGTGAGTTTACTGTAATGGAGTGTTTGTCTGTATCAGAAACAGCCTGACCTCTCCAGCCACAAGATGAAATACCAGCAGCCCACTCTGTCACTAGTTCACTATTAGGAAATTACATGGGAGGAAAGACACAACACAAAATTCACAGGGAAAAAAAAAATAAAGAAGAAAGAAAAAAAAAAGACATCAGCAGTGGTGGGAGTGAATGAACAAGCTCAACAAAGCTCGCAAAAAGGAAAATACCCTCTGGCCAATTGATAATAAAAGGTTACTTGAGGCAAAGGGCCAGATCCTGAGCAGCATAAAGTGGCCCAGCTTCCCCAACCTCAGCTAAGCAACAGTGATTTATAGCAGCTGCAAAAAGCCCCAGGAGACAGAAAAACCCAGATATAAAAATGGAATTAGGGGCCCACATTTTGAGAAGCTTCCACTCACTTTTAGCACCAGACTGAGGTACAGAGGTGACTCTGAGGGCTTGTTTCTGCGGGGGAGTTCCTGTGAAGTAAGCTGAAGTGTGAATTTACACTGCATTTACTGCTGGGTCTTTAAGTAGGCTGTAAATTCATACCCCAGCCTATTTTGCAGGGATTTCCCCAAGTAGATAAGCCCTAAATTTGCCTCCTAATCATGGAGGCAGACAAAATAAATAGATGTTTCCAAAACTGCAGACCCACACAAGGATCCCTCTATTGCTTGCAGGGCCAAGTGGGTACTGGGTAGTATATATTGTTTTGTTGTCCTGCAAGCACTTGGTGCCCTTCTTTCTTCTTTAGATTCCCAAAGCCCTCTCCAAACATCTCTCAACATCCTTCCACTTCAAGAAACACCTTTGAAACCCTGGCCCTGTCTCAGCTTCATGACAGATTTCCATACCTAGGCCCCTATTTCCTCCTTTCACCATTCCAGTTCCACATTTGGAGGCCCATGTTCTCCTTACCTACTTTTCCCGGACCCTCTGGGGGAGCAGTAACACTGTCCTGGTGCAAAGCAGTCTCCTCCTACCAGTTTCTTGCCTTTGAACCAACCTAACCATGTCATGTCCATTCATGCCTCATCCATTCCCTAAAGCACTGGATCCTCAGGTTAATGGATGCCCTCTGAAACTTCCTTCAGAAACATAAGTTTAACTCTATGCCAACAAATGCCAAGAAGCAAGCAAGATTGCTCACACTTTCTTGGCTGAAAGATGCTTTTACATGCAGCCAAACAGGAGGCCAAAGGCCTTCAGCAGGAGACAGAGGACTAGAAATTGTGAGGGTACATAAATACCAGAGAACAGCAATTGCATCATCAATGTGATGCAAGTAGAAGAGAAGGTGGATACTCTGGAAAAAATTCTTCTGTGCAAATTATTCATTGAGCTGAAATAACTCCTCTTTCCTTTTCACCTTGCCCTGTTCAGGAAGAAAATTGCATATTTCAGTATGGGATACCATATAGTATTCTCCACATATGGTTCAGCACTTGCTTCTCACTCCGGAACACTCCAGAACCTTCAGACTGGGCCAGTCACCTTAGAAAATGGAGTACAAAAAGATGGCTGTATTTTACATTCTGAAATGTGAAAATCTGAGGTGTCAGAGATGATTATGGATGTTACGTTGGTCTTATACCACTGACTCCAGCAATGTAATCTATCATCAATGATTCCAAAGCCACAGTAGCAAGGATGCTTACCTGCTCCCCTATAGGCTGGCTCCACATGTCATATGTCCACTACAACTAGACTCAATCTCACGCACAGCCAAGATGGCACAGTATTAGTGCCATGTGGAGCAGGACAGACAGGCGCCTTTCCAGTCACAGTACACGTAGCAATGGCTGCACCAGGTCCCCCCTGATTGCTCATTCAAAGGCTGTGCTAGAAAGTAAAAAAACACCCTACGTGGTCAAGTTATGAAATGTTGTTTCATTGCACGTATGCAAAACAAGGTTGAACTTCTGCTGAGAAGACAACCTAAGTTCAAACAGTTCAGTTTCTGAACACTTGGTGACCTGAATGTATGTTAATCAACTCTAATGTTATTAGCATACCCATACTCTGCGTCCTGCATTTTGGATGCCTTGTACCTTTTTAAAAGTACTGGTGTTTGAAAAGAAGGATGGCCCCACACAACTAGCTTATGTCAGCCCACAGCCTCAGGCAACTCACGCAGAATCTGAGACAGATAACAAATTACTGGAGTACAGGGAGAAAATTATGAAGACACAGAAGGACAGTGTAAAAAAGAAAGCAGACAGTGGGGGTCACTGCATGAAGGGGGCTCTGAAACAAACCTGTACATACCAGTATTTCTCTCTGATGAACAACAAGAAGACAGAGAGTGTGAAGGGAGTAATGCTGTGTTTTCATAGAGGTAAACTGTAATGGGCTTCCTTAGGTCTCAAACCTATTAGAGCTATTTTTTGTTTACTCATACAATGTATCATTTGGGATAATGTATCTATAAATGTATGAACTTTTGAAAGAACATTTTATGGTTTTAATTTTCAGGGTATAATTTCTTTTGTTTGTAGCTTCCACAGGCTATAGATTTCCTGCCTATCATCTCTCTCATGGTGTTCAAACACCAGGGCCAAGCTTCTCCAAGTCCTTACTGAACCTTCCACTTACACAATAACAGGGATAACCACCAGCATATTCGCTAAAAAGAACATCCCAGAGAACCCAGTCATCGAAAAACACCCAGCAAGGCAAAGGAACAAGGCCCTTCACATTACTTTAACAACCTACTATTCCTTGAAATCATTGCCAATACTAATCTGTTTATGTAGCAACTAAACAAATGTATATGATTTCCTATGCAATAACACACTGATTAAACCTTGGAACATTTTCTTCAAGGCATATTTCTCAAACAACAATAAGACCTTATTAAACCTCAAAGAAAATTCCACATAAACACATAGCATCAAAAAGCCAGGAGCGTGTAAGAATTTGGGCAATTTTAGTCAAACTTCAGTGTGTTCTTGTCAATTATTTCAGTTGCAAAGTTTTCAGAAGCATAGAGAACTGGCCTTTGACAGCTAACCAGTAAAAGGAGCACAGCTCTCCGTCTCACACTGTCACACAGTAGGGAGGCCTCTGTGCTCTGCTAAATGTGAAGTATTTTAGAAAAACAAAACCAGGAAACAAACTGGGATTTGGTCAAGAGTTCATGCTGGCTGAATCACTGTGGTATGGAAACCACCAGCTCCAGAGATGGAAAGTCCGGAGCCATTCATTCCCTCAAAGAAACTAACAAGAAAAGGAAAAAAAAGCGCGCATTACAGCATTAAAGACCCATTTTGCCTGCTGGCAAGCTCCCTCAACATCCATAACACAGGTGAGGCTACCTACAGATGGGTGCCGTGACCTTTTTTCTCTCTTCAAGCACAGCCAGCAATTTGATCTGCACCGCAGCTTTTCATATTGGGTGTAGTGAGACTTGTTTAAATGTCACCTTCTGATTCAACATGTAGAAATGCCACAGGGTCATGGCACTGCTTCTTCTCTCCACATCCTGCTCCTATTGCCCTCTTCTGCCTTTCCCCAGCAAAAGGAAGAAAAGTCTACATATTTTACAGATTGAACATGGCCCATTTCTAAGTAGAAATTCATTCAGACTGCTCTGCCTTGCCTTTTGTTATCTGAGGGCTTCCAAGGAAATATTGCTCAGAAGCAATTAAGGCCAACTGTTATTAGAGAAAGACATGCAACAATCAGCAAATTTAGAGAGGCAACATGGTCGGTTTGAAAGAGGCCTAGAAAATCCTAACATTGTTAAAATTTATCCTCACAACTGCTAACAATATCTAGTAAAGATGTTTGCATTCTGCTCATGCATTTCATCCTCTTTCATAAGACAAAATCTTATTAGCAAATCATTTTAGCAAAGTTGAAAAGTCAAACTGTTGTGTATACCCATTGCTTGTAGCAAGGGTAACAATTCTGGACAATAACCACTGCATATTTTACTTTCCTTGTTTTCAAAGTACTGCCATATATAAACATGCTGTAATTAGGTACTAACACATTTGTCTTGGTTAATCATGTTATTTGACATAATCCTATCACTAAAGCTAAGACTCCTATTAGCTTTCTGGTAACATCCAGCCTCATCAGATTGCTCTTTCTGCAGCATCCGTTTCGGCTGTGCTGGATGGGATGACCAAGACCCCCAGCAAGAAAAGAATAAGCTGTGCTGCAGAACAAGTGGAGAGCTAGTCCAGTGGGTAAACATCCTAAGCTGAGGAAACCCAAGATAGTTCTGCAACATATTTCCTTCCACAGACTTATCTACATCATTTATTCTCCCTGTGCCTCCGCTCTGTAAAATGGTACTTTTATATAACAGGCTCTGTGAGAATAAATACAGTATGAAGTGGCACACTGACAGGGAACATGGAAATACCTCTGAATCTATGATAACTCCTCATTACCAACCAGTCATATTTAACACTCAGAAATGAATGATTCCAGAGAATGTTACAGTGGAAGTGACTCACAAAAGACTGAAGAATCAACACTGCTTCCTGAACTGAATTCAGTTTTGTGAGTGTAAGTTTTAAAGGGTTCATTTACCAAAGTGATTCCATTTGGAAAGCAGTCTTTGAGAATTATAAGCAGCTTTCTACAGCGCAAACCACCAGCTAGCAGCAATACTATTTCATAGCACTGGTCGCAACCACCAAGGAAGCCTTTAAGCACAGCAAAGCATGTTCCAGGATGTCTTAAGAAAAAGATCTATAAAAACCACACATGAAAACTTGGGATTCTTGTGCATTACTTTTGCCTATTTTTTGATGGAGCTGGTGTTACAAAGCCTCATCAAAATTTCACAGGCAATACGTCAGGAGGGAATCCATTCTGAAATACTAAATCACAATAACCTTTAAATAGGCACCAGCTTTTCTGAGGAGTTCTTTATCCTGAGAGGAAAACAGATATTGCAAAGCTTTAGCTAACTTCACTGTCACCTTGCATATGTCTAAAAGGCATTTTTGTCCCCTCTGGAGGGGACTCACTCACTGGTAATGTTATCTCATTGGACAAAGCCATCCAACAATCCTCCTTTTAAGATGCATGTCAAGGGAACTGTGTCTTCTTTATTTTTTTAAACACACCTACACAGCCCTGCATCAGCCATTCCCCCTTTCCTGGAGGGCTTACCCTGCACTACAGCTCCTGGTGACCTCATCAAATGCTGTACCCCTTTGGGCTTTCACTCCCCTCAGCTCCACACACTGCCATGAACAAGTGCACTCTGAGTATTGCCTCTGCCCTGCCCCATGTCACTACTCCCACCCTAAAGTCTGGCAGATTGCACTTACATTAATGTTCAAGTTTAGAGCAGCAGTGTGCTTTTGAAGACAGCCACTCCAATGTCCTCCTTACCATGCTTTGCTTTGCATCAGGGAGAAGTCCTCGAGAATACAGACCAGATTCCTTACAGGTGCACCTGAGCACGGAAGAGGTACCCCAGCAGCACAGGCAAAGCACACAGCATGCAGTCCAGGGGACCTCACTAGACCTGCAGCTCTCCAGGCTCACTCCTAGTTGCTACTGTACTTGCTTGTGGAGAAACTGCCCTGGAGTATCAGAAGCTCATTCTCCTTCAGGAAATCTCAACAAACCCTTTCTACTCTGTACAACCACCCAAAACTCACATTGCTCCTCTCCACCCTCCCCAAAAAGCTTGATGTTTTTTTTTACCCAACCAGCACCTCCAGTGGATCATACTCAAACTGCTACCATTTGGACTAGTCTTTGTTAAAACTGTCTGTCATCATTTAGGCCTTTGCTCACCTGCCAGTATTTTGTCACCCACTTCTTCCTTTTTCCACCTACTTCTACTCTTCCTTTCTTTCTTTTGGACTTTCTTGTTCTATTATTTTAATTACAAATAAAGCTTGAACTCATCACTAACACCAACTTCATCTGAAATAATTCCTTTGTCTTCTGTGATTTCTTTGATTTCATGTGACTGAATTTCTATCTGAAGAAGTTCTGAAGTTCTACCAGTGCAAACTGGAACTTCACATTATCTATAGAGAAATCACCTTCTCTTATTTCTCAGTTAGCTGCAGCATAGTCTTTTTATTTGTGGGCCAGTCCAGGACTTGCTGAACTGAATGGAAGGACCTCAGCTAACTGGAAAAGACAGTCCCCTACATGATACAGTTTATGCTAAATTTCATGACTATATGACATTCAGAGATAACCATGTACGTTCCGTGTCTTTTGCGAATACATTTTTCCTATAACACAATCTGAGAAAATACTGGGTTTGTTCTAATGTAATTTTAAGAATCAAATTTATATACAAGACCTTTAGAAAACAGAGACCCACCTCTACATGCAAAGAACAAACATTTGCATTACCTATTTATATTAAAATATGCAGAAATTTCCAAAAGTATTCAGTCAACTTATAAATTTTTATAACTTCTTCAAATTGTTAACATTTTTTTAACACACAGCATTATTTCAGCTTTGTGGAAGGCTCAATAACAATCTTTCTGGTCTGAAGAAAAGGAAAGAACATTATAATAAAGAATGCAGAATAAATAAAAACAAAACAGTACAAGCCGTACATCCACGCATACAAAGACAACTTTCATGGTGAGCTATAAGGAATTATAATAACACAATGTGCTGCATGTTGATTTCACCAGTGAAAAGAATTTCTCCAGTTATTGAAGACTTTCCTGGCAGAATTTCAGAATAAAAAAAAATCTGACATTCTCCCAATCTGACTTCTGTGCAATGCAAGTCATGCACATTTTAAACACCGTGGAATAATACCGCCTTTCTTCTGCAAACTGTTAACAGCTGTAGAAACTATTATAGCCTGCTTAAAATCATGTCTCTGTAGTCAATACTCTCCAGACACTTAGCAATACTAAAGCTATTCCTGGGGCTAAACTAGAATTGCTATTTGAATACAAAGTTTGATTTATGTTGAAATGAAACAACAAACATCTGATCTTTCTTTTTTTTTAAATGGCCATTCATATAAACACGAGTATCAGCTGCATAACTAGAAAGTGATGTACCGAATTTACAGAAATTAGACAAAGGAAGACCACCCACAGTCACCTTCAAGAAGAAAGGATTTGTCAGAGGGTGAAAGATTGCTGGTGAAGATACTTTGCACAGTTGTGGCTGCCCTAATGTCCTCATGGTGAGGCTGCAGTTTAGGATAGTGATGTTTCATGAATCTAGTTTTTCTTGATAAGCAGTCCAGTACCATATCTTGGTGATGCTCACCATCAGCTGCTCTCAAACTGATCACAGAGGACTGCCCCATAAATTCATTCAGACGCATCCAAGAGGAAGTCCAGGTCTCTCTGTGCCAATGTTATTCTTTCACATCCCAAAGCACAGGTGTGAACAGGAGAAATGCTCAGTTGTTGTTCCTCTGACGTTTTTGAAATGATGATTGGGAAAAGACACAAGTGGAGCAAGAGCAAACCTTAAAATACATATAAAATTTCAGATATGTTCTATGGATTCACATACATTACTAAGATGCGCTGAAAATGCAGGTGTGACTGCTAGCTGCAATAAACTGCTAACAATGTTCCTTTATGTTTTTATACATCTTCACCTTTCAAGAAATGAAAACATATAAGTAAATACAGTAAGACTTGTGGAGGGTTTGTGATCTCTGCTAAAGACAGCAATTAATTTGACTAGTAACAATAACAAAGTGAGGGTTAAGCTAACTTGACGTTAAGACACTCTTCCTCCAAAAGAGTACCATAAAATGATCAGGAAGACTTTAACATCCTCAAATTAATGCTCCAACATGTTTTTAGATTAATTGCGAGATTAATTTTAACTCTTCAGCTGTTAAAGTATCCAGAAAACTGAAAGATGAGCTAATTGTTCATCTCATTACTAGTTTTTGTTCTGTCAGTAAATTGCCTTTTTTAAAGCATTACATTTGCATCTCCTAGTCAGAGCTCTTGGAGAAGTTTCAGGTTCCCCACACTGCACAGGCATGCCTCCACCTTCTCCAGCACACACGCAAACACCAGAATAGCCTGTCTGCCCTTCAGCTGCCCCAGATTTCATCAAACAGACCCTTCCACACAGTCCCAGGGCTTGGCTGGGGAAAATGCTACCCAGTTGTGCCTATAGCAAGACTAGTGTTGCTTTCTGGAAAGCTGCTGTTGCTAGTTCCACCAGATAACCTTCACTCTAGGGACAGTCTTCACTAGAAATGCACATGGACCAGTGCAGCTGCCAAAGGATAGGAACTCACGGTCACTAAATCCTGCATTGCTACCACTGCTGTAATGGGACTGTGCAATGCTGAGGACTCCAGAGGCAAAACAAGGCTTGCAATTCCAAATGCAGACCTACCACATGGCAGAACTGCTGTAATTCTCTCTGCTTTTGGGTCAAATTCAAGTCTTGAGACCACCATTGTTTTTAGGAAAACTCCCATGGACTGTGCAAGAGCCCAGCTCACATTTACACAGGCCTGTTCCAGGCTGGCCCCAACCCCTCTGCTTTTCTTCCTCCCTACCCACTTTCTCACTCCCTCTGCTTTGGATGGAAGCTTTTGGGAGCACTTTGGATGTCGTGCCTCCATAAATCTGGGATAACTCTTGGATTCAATGGGAGTAAAGCTGACCCATATCATTGGGTCTCTCTTGCCAAGTATCCTCTGTCATTCCTCCTGTCTCTTTGATCAGTCTAATCCTGTCCTTATCTAGCATCTGCAACTCCACTCCCTTCTTCTCCTCACCTGTTGTCCTACATTTCAAATTTGCTGATTTTGCCATTCCTAGACTGAGCGCTCCTACAGGCGGAGTACAATGTTACTGGATTTTTCCTTCCTTTTTCTATAAAATGGTGTGCCATTTAAATGTTTTCCTGTAACAACGGAAAGAGGTGATCTGTTTAAAACACTAAAGCATATGGAAAGAGGAGGTGCGCACATAAGGGGGAAGAAGAACCACTGTTTTCTTAAATTTTAATAGGTACCTAAGAAATAACTGTTTTTCCTCAGAACCGCTGACCATTACAAAGCAAAAAGATTTTGTCCGGGGGGGAACAACAAACAGGCAAACAAACAAACAAAGAAAAAATACCCCAACATAGACATAGAACGGCACCGATGTTTCTAGCAGCCATCATATCCTCTGGCCTGGGAACTTCAGCAGGGCTCTGACTCTTAATTCAGCACAGTCGCAAGGCAATGCTGCAATGACAGTCCCCTGGGGACTGCAAATGAAGAAAAAGTGATTTTCAAATCAACCGAATTCCAAGGTCCCACATCTGAGATGGGGGCTGCAGGGAATCAAACAGCCTTACAAAACTTACACAGTAAGTACAAATCATGCAACTAGGAAAATCTCCCAGGTATCCTCTTAATACCAACTGGATTTGCTAAACTCAATGGTCAGTAGTTACACTGAACAGAGTAAGAAAAATTAGGATGTGGGTTACAAGGGCAGATAATTTACAATGGGAGGTTCACAGTGGACCACATGGAAAAATAAGCAGCTTGGACTACAGAGAAGCTTAGAGAGAGGGTGAAGCAATGGCTATTTTGAGAATCCCTATTGGGCACAAAACAGCATTCTGCTATGGAGTGCTAATAACATACATTAAACGCACTAAAGGCTGCGACATAGGCAGAAAAAGGCCAACAACTTTTCAATATAAAAAACAGATGTCAACTGATTTCATCCATCACAGAAGAGAAATTAAACAGAAAAATCTCCAGCACGTAGGCACACTGTAAATGGGAGAACAGAGCTTCCCAGCAATGGATCAGGAAGATCTGATCCTTGGCACTAATTCTGGAACAAGAAATGTTTTAGACAGGTTACCTTCTTACCTGCCTATGTGTGGAAAAGTCACTGGTAACTGAAAAACTCTTCAGCAATTTTCTGTGCTGCTTTTCTATTACAATAATTACACATTGGCTGCTCAGAACTGAATGGTATCTGGTGTCATTACCCTAATACTCATAACTATCCCTCCAGATCTTCACATTGAGCCTTTCACAGTGGGGAGGGATGATGAATAGGGGGCAAACAATACTATTAACACTTCCTATTTTGGCTGGTACTGCATGTTAGTACAGTCCACAGGCAGGTGCTATCATTTCTGACAAGCCTGTTGGTTAACGGTGACAGGAATCTGTCAGATGCTGCCCACACACAGGCCATGTCCCGCACAGCACGCTGACCTCCTCCTAAGATGTTTCATTTTAACATTCTACTGAACATGTTAGAAGTACCAGCTGGCAATGTGTGATGTATCACAGAGAAAGGGAAAGGCATAGCCACCGGGGCAAACCAACAGGGAAATAACCTGCCAGGGCAGCAGTGGGCTTGCTGGAACACATGCTTGTGCTCGGTTGGAGAAACAGCTGGATCTTTGTGACAGAGGGATGCTTGGCCCGTCAAACAAGGCAGTGTGCAAACGCACCTCTGTACTTCTTGTGCAACTCCCTGAGCCTGCAGTTGCCAGAAGATTAGTGCTGTCATAAAGATGACTTTAAAGCAGCCTCAGGCTTTGCCAAGAATAAACCACAAGTGCCTTTACCTTCACAAGATCATATCCACACCATGTGCAATCCTTTTCTACAGGAAAAAGCCCTGTGCCAATGTGTAAGAAGATGCATATTGAAGAACTCTGACATTGCCTCAAAACAATCACACAGACTGCTGTCTGATCTCCCCTCAGACAAGGAAATTCAGAGGGTCCTGCCTATTTCTGCTTTCTGTGGCAGCATTCTCCACAGCTTTCTCCCTTCTTAATACCATTTAAGATGCAGAGCTGATGGACATGACCAAAGAGTTACACTTCCTAGGCAGGCAATAAAATATTGGAGACTCTCAACTAGCAACAGAGCCTTTGCACACAGCCAGGACAGCTCAGAGCGCTCCTGTTCCCATGCAAGAGGTTATCAGACCCACAGCAGAGCTTTAAACCTTAAGCTAAGTTATTGGACTACCCACCAGAGCCTGTGAGACAAATGCGTGTGCTCCCCCTCTCTGCCTTGCTGCAAGCAAGCTCTCTGCTGCCAGGGAGGGAGTGATTGTATAGGTGTCAATATCTCCAGCTACCCAAATAGGTCTGGGTAGCTGGGAGCTTGGGTTCAGTACGGCATGCAATGACATAATTCCAGTATTATCTCTGTAACAAAAAGTCTCTGAAATTATTATTTTTGCCTTTGGAAATTTTATTAAGACCAGTGCGGAAAATGGCAGCAAAGAGAAGATTTATGAATATCAACAAAGTGATTCACCAGCCCCTAGCTAGGAAGTGATTTCATTGCACCACATCTCCATGAGAATAGCAGAAGAGGAGCATTGTTTCATAGGACAGGAAAGTGATGTATTCTCCCAAAGAAAAGCATTAAATCTGCAGGTATCTATGACAAACGAGACGGGGGTAAACTGTCAATGCTCTGGGTAGCGAGTTAGGTGCTCAGCACCTATCAGATGCTTGTAACACTACTGAAGAATACTAGACCATTTCCAACCTGGATAGGGATAAATTGCAAGCCCTGGGTACATTGTATAATCCCCTCACAGTCCAACCAAATTCTTCTCTACCTGTTCCATCACTCCCCACTCCATCTCTCAAACCACAAACAGTAAAATCCTTTCTTGCTCCCTGCTTAGCAGCCATATAGTGAGCATGCTCTTACATTCTCTTACTTAACTCAGTCCCACACTTGCTGACCCACAATATCGCCTCCACACCCCAAAATGGGCTCTTGGTCTTGCAGGGATCTATGCACCTCAGCAGTTTGTCTGCTCCATACCTTTACCTTGCCCAGCACCATTACTCAGAGGCTCTGGTGCTTTTCAGGCCAAAAAGCACAGGACTGCTGCACATCCAGCTGGCCTAGGGAACACCAAAGCTCTTCCGATCCCTGTAGTACCCTGATTCTCACCTTGTGGCTCACACTAAAGAGAAGCTGAATGCATGTATGAAGTTGCTGGGGAGGCAGAAAGCAAGGGAGTTTTAGGTTTCAGCATGTATGCCACATGTTATCTTGAGGAGTGACACACTGGATAACAGGGGGCTTTGAGATCTTAAACCCATACCTTGTGTTGGACATGACCATGCTCTCTGCAGTTGCTCTGGGCAGTATCATCTTGTCAGCACCTCAAATGCCTAAGCATGATACATTATGCCGCGCCCTGTAATTAATGTCCTGCCTCTTGCAAAGCAGGCAGCAGTAGGCTTGCAGCTATGTAAGTACTGACCTGACGATGACAAACCAACACCACCCAGATTAAGAGGATTTTCTTTCTGTTAATCAGTTCCCTGGAGTCTGGTGCTGTAGATGCATAGACAGGGCTTAGAGAGCAGCTGTGATTTCTGATGCAACCAGCCACAGTTGGTGCCAACCACAGCAGCACAAGATTCCTCATGCAATCCATCTGCTTCGTTGGGTTCACCTAGAAAAGCAAGCCAGCCACCCAGCTCAGTCCTCAGTCACACCCAAACAGCCGTGCAGAAGGACTGCTCTCTATTCCAGCAATATCCACAGGCTCTGGCACACTGAGCAAGAGCTCCTGTCCCAGAAAGCCTACATCTAAGAGGAAAAACTCAAAGGGAGGAGACACTCACCAATGGGGAACTTCATGGTGTGATATATACGCAAGGTAGGGCACAAGACAGACCATATTTTTGATACAGTTTCAGTGTTTCTGTGTATTTGACGAGATCACAGGGGAACTCAATCAGCAACAGAAAATGGAAATGTCCCTTCCTTTGGCCAAGCACACAAAGGAAGTCCTGGGTCTGATTATCCGCTGGTGACACTTACTTAACATCCATGTAAGCCAAACAATTTTCACAGTTACTCCTCATATATTTAAATAAGAAGAAAATCTAATTTTCCATTTGGCTTAGGAAAACATACAGCTTTTGAAGAAAACAAGCGTAAGTAACCTGTTAGCAATTATTTTAGAGAACATTTCAGTTTGGTGAACATATTCTCTCAAGTTACTCCTACAATCTAGATGAGTAGGACCTGTTGTACTCATCTCTTTAAAAATTATCATCAGTTAGTGAGTCCTGCGTTGCACTGTTTCCATCCAAAGAGCCTTATTGTTGTGCACACATGGCACTCTCTTGAAGTCATGGAGACAATACCCCAGACAGAACAGACTGGAACAGATCACAGATACCCATTTTGTATCAACTACCCAGAAAAGTGAATAGTTCTTCTGTGTAGTATAAAACCTCACGTACCACAGGAACAGAAGCTTAAAGGCCACATAGCACTTTCACTCTGTGTGTGCATCTTCCAGTGATGTCAACTGGATGCAAGCTTCTGATTCTCAGCCAGCATAACTTTTGCCAGGAAGTATTTTCAGACATACCCCACTGGCTCTGGGATCACACTTGTGCCCCAATGAAATCGGATGTCTCTCCACACCATCCACACTTCTACATGATAGAAAGGGGGAAATAAAAATAAATAAAAAGAGGAGATTGTATCCATAAAATTTACTTTATTGAATGATTCTGGAGGACCTTTGGAAGGTGAGAGCATTTTTAAATCTTGGCCTCAGGAATAACATCCTCTGAGCTGAGGAGTTAGAATGGGATAGCCACACTTCTTGACATAAGGATAGCCAATAACTTGTGGTGAGATTACCACAGTTTAATAATTTAACAACATGAAGATGGCTTAAGCCAACAGGTACCATTTCACCACAGGGCACAAAAGCAGGACTGCTGAAGTTCAGCTGGAGCGACAGTGTGTTAAGCTACAGCAACATGATTGCTTTGGATTATCTCTTTTATCTAAACTATCCTTGTTCCGACACTTGGGTCAAAAAACTGCAAGAAATGCAGGGCACGGAAGACAGGTTATTTTCAACTTGTTAGGCTTCCCACAGAGTTTTCAGATTCTGCGCATAGATTTAAACAATTTTACCATTTTTGTTACATCAGAACATCTTTATATCAAAACAACCAACTTCTTCTTACCAAACCTTTTTTTTTTTTTTAAATTCTAGTTACATGCCACCCCTTTGAAGTAAAATAGCTCAGATTCACACATAAAGATTGTGATAACGGAAATAAAAGGTAATGAACCAACTGGGTTTGTACACAAAATAAGCATGTGTAATTACAAAGCAGCCAATGTGCTGACTTTGCCTTGAGTTACATTACATACTGGCCCCTCCGATCCCAGGACTTAAAATCACCTTTGCTCTCTCTGTCACAGGTCAAGCACAGCTCAGCCAAACTGGGAGATTTGTGCCAAACCCTCTGTATTTCCAACAATTGAATACTGAATTCTCCTCTTATAAGTCACTTAGGAGTCATGCTTGCACAATTATTTGCATACACAGCCACTTTATTTCAGCCCTAAATACAAAAAAGCTATTAACAGTTGGCCAGATTCTGCTCTCATTTGCCCCATTGCAAACCCATGTCATTTCCACTCAGACCAATGGAGCCCGAGTTTTATACCACACATGGGAGAGCAGAACTCCTTTGTTTACTGAGGCAACTCACATTGCCACTGAGTTGCTGTGCCTGTGGCACACATGGCTTTGAAGGTTTCCATTCTGCTGCACATGCTGCCTCCTCCTCTGCTTACCTTCCTTCTAACTCCTCTGCAGTCCCACCATATCCCTTGCGGGCCTTTATTTTAAACCTTGTTTCACAGACAGACTGGAGCAAGCTACTTATACCCTGTAATTCACTGGATTGACAAGAAGCACACCAGCTGAGTAACACTGAACAAAAGACAAAATTGTGTCTACAGTGTATTTACACACAATAAAATGAACCAATCAAGCAAACAAACTGTACACAACGTGCCCTATTATTAACTGAAACCAGAAGAAACTCTCTTCAGTACTTTCAGTGCTTATAAATGCATGCTTATGTCCCAAGTAACCCAGAGCTTCCAGCAATTACTTAGTCCTCAAAGCTTTAAGCCAAGTATTTTCACAGTGTTTGCTCCCTGGGGCCCACAGAAGGTAACAGGTAACTGGTTTCCAACCCCGTTTCTTCATAGTCCTCCACGCTGAGGGCACATTTTGCACATTCTCCCTGACTGATAAATCATCTGGTTTAACTTCTCCCTAGACTCCCTTTATGTGCTATATGTGCCACTGTCAGACCCCCAGGCACGGTACCGTTCCCAGCCGGCAACGGACAGATGGGTAGGTGCCAGGTGACACCAGGAACTGTGGCACTGGGAAGCAAGCACTCTGCTGCCAGTCAGGAGGCAACTACAAGAGGCATGTGAGAGAAAATTTAATCCCACTGTCCCTACATGCCCACAACGGCTGGGTTAGGAGTTACTGTTCTGCTCTTCTACAGATACAGCCATTGGAAGATTGCAGCCGTTACTTGGTGCTTTTATTTCTTTCTGGTAATATAATAAAGCAATTCCCACTTGTGAAAAATGTGGCTGTTTGTGACTGTGATGAGGTATGTCAGGACGTACAGGCCTCAGTATGTAACATAGACAGCACCGGCCAAACAAGCTCTCGTTCCTCCCAGCAGGCAGCCTGACCTCAGATGAGATTCACACGCCACCCCATGCAACAGCATCCCGCAGGATTATGTGTCTTTCTGGAGATGCGTTTTTCTGCCACCTTGAATGACCACATCAATAGCCACAGAGCCTGAGAGGCAAACTCCCCCAAACAATTCCCCCTGCATAAAAGGAAAAGTAACTGATTACACAAATACAAGGCACAGTGAATCACCCCAGCGTGACTACTGATCCGTGTCAAAAAAACAGTGCTAGTTTCAAGGGCCCTCTTCTGCCACCCTTCCACTGAATAATTTGAGGGAAAAAACTTGACATGTCACAGCACAGTATTTCTGATGCTAATTCATGTGTTTTTTTCTCCCCCTACTAAAATTCACGGAAGCAGAAGATTGTCACATTTTTTTAAGTGGGAGATGCAAAGAACTGGGTTGCAACTCCCTGGTAAACCTGGAAAACAAGGCAAGGGGCCAGCTCCTCTGCGTGCAAACCCCCAGTGACTCAACTGAAGTGTGCACAGATGAGGTGAGAACCAAGGAGAGAACTGGATAATCCCATTCCAACTGTGTACAGCCAGATCTGTAAACAGACAAACTGGTCACTGTTTTTGAAGTGGAACATCACCCTCTCAGTAAAGCAGCAGTATGACTATGCATTCAGTGTTTTAATTCTCAGACAAAGCTAGGGTAAAAGCACATGAAACTTACAAAAATAGCTTTTAACTGATGGGAAAGGACAATTCCACGGCTGCCTGGGCAACTGTGCTTGTATAAAAAAATCAGTGGCTGGACACTGTAACATACTATTTCACTATAATGCAGTCTCCTATCAGTTTCAGATCCTTCCATTCTGCCTCAAATGCCCATATGCTGACACGGAATATATATGGTTTACATGTATGTTTTATTTAGCACAAAACAAGGAACAGCACTGATTTAGAATTCAGTTTTAACATTGTATATACACAGACACAGATAACTTTGAGAAATCAAGTACACACGTGAAAGGAGGTGTTTTTAATACTCTCACAAGCATTTCTCACCATCACGGGAATCCTTTCCAAAGTCCCCCTAGTAGCATCAGTATAAGTCCAAAAGACCAGATGAATGAGGCCCTCGCTCCTCCTGCATACCAAGAAGAACTTGCCCCAACACTCCATAATAAGGTTAAGCTTCTGCCTTTAATTCAAGTCACCAGGACTACAGCTTACCACAGGAAGACAACAGAAGAGATCAAGGGCATCCCCGGAGACTTTGTTAGGTGAAAAAAGTAAAGTGCACAAGGTTACTCAAATGTTTTGTGGACTTACAGTTCCGTTGGCATCCTCATACAGTGTCATATATTTAAGTGTATACATAAAAACCCAAATACAGTTATAATCCTGCCAGGAGTTCCATGCGAACAGCTCTCTGAAAGCAATGTCAGTTCCTCCTATGTGCAAGTCCCTGCCTATACAGGGCTCTCTGCAGGATTAGGACTGTACACTGTGTACATATATGCTGGCAAAGTGTGTTTACATAATATGTAAATAGATAAAGAAAAGTACATTCACACCAACTACTGAAGAAAGAAAACAAATCCTTTTTCTACTGCTAAAAGTACTGAATCACTTACCATCTGGTTTGGAAGGAAAGAAAAAAAACCTCAGTCCAATTCAGCTATGAAGAAAATCCTGTCTAAAAAAAGTAATCACATGGCAGATCCCCCTAAGTTCAATTTCCAATCATTTTAACATGGAGAGTTTTGTTTTCCTGGGAAAAAAAAGAAAACCAAAACCAAACCCCAAAAACACCATCAAAACCAAACCAAACACCCCCCCCCCCCCCAAAAAAAAAAACAAAACAAAAAAACAACAAACCAACAAACCAACAAAACACCCACCAAAAGAAACGGTAAGAAAGATGAGTGGCTTGTTAGGCCCTGATCCTGCAAGCTCTAAATGCTTAGGTACAGGGAACAAAGCTATTTTTTCAGGAAAAAGCTGAGTCTCTGCATCAGTTTCTGCTGGAATGCACCCTAATTTTCCAAGAAAAATCTGCCACACTTGCCATCATGCTGTGACATGCAGAAGTTAAGTCTAGATAATAAATATCTGAACTGATTTCCCTTTATACCTTGGTAATTTGCAGGGGGGGCGGGTTCCTCCTTCACCTATGCACACTGTAGCACAGTGCAGAAGCAGTGTTACCGACAACTGTATTATTTACATGAAAAAGAGCATGTGGTCATGTAAATAGTCCAAGTACTAGAGCACAACCAGCGAAGGTCATGTTTATAGCTCCGGCAAGCATTTGCCATGTCCAAACTTGTGACTTTTCACTTTGCCCTCCAACACACCATTAAAATTTTTAAAGAAGTGAAAATTTTTATATCACCATTTCAACCCACACTTCAGAACCCAGCTTACACATAGCACTGACTTTCCAAATGCATCCATATGTTCCCTTTAACAGTTGTTAATCCACAACTGTATGTCGTGGAATCAAACTGCCCTGTTCCTCCTTGTTTCATTCCCTGCACATTCGAACACCAATTCCCCTCTCTGTGCTGCTTCTCTGGAACATCCCCCTGACCTCATTCACCAACATTTCACCCATACTGGCATCTCTTCCTTTTTTCCTCATCCTTTTTCTCTACTGACTAATTGCCAACATTTTCTAATTGATGTTCTTGCATCTTAGTATGTTTGTCTCAGAAGTAGTCAAATCCTGGTTGATATCCACAAATCAAAGAGAAATCAATACTGCTGTGTGTGGGCTGCTGTTAACACTTCTGCAGGTCCTGGCCTTTCTCTTCTGCTTCCCCCAGTCCACTTCCCTTGTTTAAACACTTGCCTAAAACTTCCTTCCTCCTCCTGGAGGCCTGGAGTTTAATACAGACCCTTTACCTAAGGGACAAAGGATTTGACTGGATTTACTGATTAACTGACAGACACCTGAACACACTGACATTTTCCTGTCCCACTAAATACCTTATCCACTAAATTTTACTGTTCATCTTTTTCTGCTGAACCCCAAGTCTTTCACATGAAAAAAAATCTATTCTTTATTTAAAATAGAAAAATGTTCCTTGACTATTCCTTCCTGCTTAAATTTAGCACTATTGATCAACTCTGTACAGATTCCCACTGGGACAAATTTGATCCCAAATCATTAAACATGAAGTAGTTCTCTCTCTTGCTGAAAAGAGATTGCTAAAATAATGTTACATGTATAACCAAAGGCAATCAAGTCATTATAGCTTCACATGTTACTGCTTATCACCTGTATGACTACCATACCCAGTCCTCACTCATGACTGAAAGGCTTAGCTTAAAGATAGCCTGCGCTATAGCATTTTTGGCAGTGAGGGAAGGCTATGAGTGAGCACCAACAGCTTACGCTGACTCAGCTGCAGAGCAGTAACTCTTTAAGTCACAGAAACAGAATTACTTTAGGCCTCGCTAGTAAGGTTGCCTAAAAACTGGGGTGTGATCGCTACTTAGCATGGCACAAGCAGTGGTAGATCCTACACTTCACGTTCTCTGGGACCCCATTAGTTAGTTAACTACCTACTTCCAACTCTGAGTCCAAATGAGCAGAAATGCACCCTACCTAGTACAAAAGTACTTGTATACTGCACCTATCACAGAGCAGACGAAAGTAAGTATGGCACTGAAGTCAGTAGTAACAGGCAAACGGAGTGCACAGACCTCACCACTGCCCAATGAGGAATCTGCAGTCTTCATACACTAGCCAGGTCTTTCCCCTGCATCATACCAACAAAACCTTCCCTTGCCATTTGAAAGCCAGCTGCTAAGAGGAAGGCTGAACAGTAAAAGGGAGCTGCTTCCAAACTGAGGCGACCTTGCAAGCTTTCTCCCACCATCTGTTCTTTCACTGAGCAACCAAATGGGACCCTCGGGATTCTCTGAAAAAGTAACAGAGAAATTAAAGAACCAAACAAGTGCAGTTTGGCACTGATGTAACAGAGGCCAGCAGGGCCTTACAGGTCTGGCAGCCAGTGACAGCACCCAAAGGACCTACAGGGAAGTGGTTTCAAAACAATGGGGAGGGCCATGACCCAGGAAGCTACCCCATGCCAGTGGCAGCACATAGCAGGCATCTCCTCCCCAGCACGCCTGGAGCCACAGCAGGGTGCGTCCCAGCACCACTACAGGACTGCAGCCACAGCAGGACAGACTCCGGATGCTCCACTTCACCATTATGCAGGACCTGTCAGGGAGGAGACAAACCCCTCATGCTAATAAAGCATTGGGATTACAGCCAAGTACAACTTTAAATCTGTACCAACTATCCCAGGAAACAGATTTCAACTTCCCCCACAGGTAGTGTCAGCATTTAAATTAACTTATATCAATAACATGATGACTTCTATGCATTTTGCTGCTTCTGAATGCACTTACACAGACTATCAAATACCAAATTATTTTAATAAAACCAGAGAGATATGCAGGGAAGAAATCGCAAGTAAACATACCACACCTTTAACTGTGTCTTTTCTGCTGTCAGCTGAAAAACTGAAAGGGATGGTCTAAATTATAGTGTCCCATACACTGTAGATTTCCTTTTATCAACGGATCAATGGTTCCCATTTATTTCTAATCACATTTTTCATAATAAAGAATCCATACGCATTCCTGTTGATACTTTATTTTGAAAACTGTGCCCGTACCAAGGCAGAGTGATAATAACAGCTTTCTGTGGACTCAGAATTACATTTGTAAACTGAACTGTAGGCTCTTTT